CAAAATAAAATATAAAATTCAATTCTCAATCAACCTAAGTTTAAAAAATAAAATTGAATAAAAATCAATTAAAAAATAAAAATAACATGAAACTAGGATAACCTCATAAAAAGTAAATAAAAAAAATAATCAAAGGCAACCTATCAAACCTGTCATTTAGATTATGAGATTGAGATAACTTAATAAAAAATAAATTGAAACAAATTATAAAACATAATTCATAATCAACTCAGTATTGAAAAATAAAATTCAAAACAAACTAATTTAAAAAATTAAAAAATTGATCATAATAACTCGAGCTAATCTGTTAAACTCGTAATCAGTCCAATTTTGAAGGATGAGACTAAAAAAAGAACATAAAAACCGACAAAGTCAATTTGTTAAACTCATGACTTGAATTATGAAACAGAGATAACCATAAAAAAATGACTTAATTTAAGCTGGATTAACTTTTTAAATTCACCACTCTAATCATGAGACAGAGATAACCCATGAAAGCAAATTGAAATAAATTATGAAGCTCAATTGACAATCAATTTTGTCAGATCCAATATTAAATAATGAAATTTGTAAAAAATCTAGTTAAAAAAATTAGTTAATTTAATATGAGTTAACCTGTTAAGCACTATTTTTGGATCATGAGATAAACTCATAAATGATGAAGCCTAATTCTCAATCAAACACAAATAATGAAATTAGAAAAAAAAAGCCAATAAAAAAACTAGTCATTTATAACCTATTAAACCTGCAACTCAAGTCATTAGACAAGAACACATCAATAAAGAGAAAATCCATTGTTAAAGAACATAAAACTAAAATAATCTTTTATAAAAAAAATAAAATAAAAAACCAACATGATTTTTACCAGGATCAAAATATCAAAACCCGTGATTCTAATTATGAGACCAGGATATTCCTATAAGAAACAAATCATAACAGATTATAAAGTTTAATTATCAACATACCTAATATTAAATGATAAAATTGAAAAAATTTCAATTAAAAAACCATAAAAATAACTTGAGTTAACTCGTGTTAACCTATTAAGTATTATTCTCTGAATTATCTTAATAGAAAATAAATAAAACAAATTATGAAACCTAATTTTCAATTAATCTGATATTAAAAAATAAAATTAAAAAAATTAAAAAAATAAAAGCTTTAACCAACCCAGTTAACTTATTAAATTTGCAATCCATGTTACGAAAATAAAATAATTTAATAAAAAATAAATTTAATATTACAAGATAAAATTAAAAATATATATATTAATTAAAAAAATTCAAAAAAAATTCAAAAATTCAAAAAAAAAACAAAACAAAGGCAAATGTTTTTGTTTTAAAGACCACAGACTAAAACTTGTGGGAAATTATTACTATTGTTGCTAGTACTTCCCGACATGTTTCAGCGTAATGTTAATTAATTAACTACACACCAGGTCAGAGACAGGAGGGGCAACTGGAAGTCGGAAAGCTCTGCAATGAGCTCTTAGGTAGGTTTCCAAGACAAATACATCCACCTTTGGGAGATTTTTACATATTTTGTTCTTATTTTATTAATGGAAATCTTTGGTGTTCGTATCACATAACTGCAAGTAAATTCTTCAAAACTTAAAAGAAACGGACAGGAAGGGAACTATCATCAAGCTTCTTCGTTGCGGCTCGAAAGATATTTTACCACATGCAAGTATTTGAATGCATGAGAGCAGATGGAAGAGGAGGAAGAAACACTTTATAAACAGACAATGCAAGGAAGGACCACCACTATAATGTAATTAATGACTTTGTTTTTCATTTTGTTTGTTCTTTCCAAAATATCAACCAACAAATCTTCACATTACTCTATATATATATATATATATATAGTATGTATGTATGTACTCTTTGCTAGTTGCTTTCTAAACACAGAGACAATGGAAAACCCAAAGTAGTGACATTTGCATAAAAATCTACAAATTATTGATTGGAGCTGAAAGACCATTCATTCTTCAAAAGTTAATGTTGAAACCACAACAAAGAAAGCTTGTACCTTCTCTAAGTTTAATCATCAAAGTATTTATTAGAGTTATCAATTGGGTTTATTACAAGGTCTAAAACTAAAAAAATTCAAGAGAGATCTATTGGACTGATTGTAGATATTTAAGTTAATTAATTTTGAATTTATTAGATTAAACTTTTTTATATTGTTTGCAACATATAAGATGTTATATGAAGAATTTTGCTTTTATTATAGTTAGACCGGAAACTAGACATTATAATTCTTACATCCATACATGTTGCACGCAATCATTTATGCAGACAAGATGGAATAAAGTGTTTAAAGTTAGGTCATAAGTTTTTGCCTTTTGTTTCCCTATAATTTATAAACTTTTAATTTAACAAGTATTTATCTTTTATAGGAAAGTAGGGTGACAACAATTATGATTATTTTAACAATGGTTTCCATGTCATTAGCTTATGTTTCCTTTGTTTAATGTATTTTCTCATTGACAATGTTTCTTTATCATTTAAGAACACTAGAAACAATTTTGGACTTATTTTTTTAATGTATAATTTGATATTAATAAACATAACTTTTAATTTAATTATTGGATTTGACTGAAATTTTCCTAGAAGTTTTTAGAGGTCTTGTTTTATATTGGATTAAAATTTCAAGTCAATTAAACATTTAGAAGGCCTTGCAATAAGGTCTACAAGCTATTATACAAGAATCGTATTAATTTCTTAAATGATTTAGGATTCTTTTTATTTTATTTTATTTAGAATTCTTTTATTATTTTTTTAACATTGTTTAGCATGTTCTTGCCTATTTTAAAAAAATATTATTTTATTGAGGTTTTAAAAATTAACAAGATATGAATTAATTATTCAAAAATAAAACTTGTGTGTGAGAGTATGCTTTTACAACTGGTTCCTCATGGAACTATTCTGAATTATCAAAGAATTAATTAAGCTTCATGATATCTTTCATACTTATTGTTTCCATTTTTTAATAGGTGTTGGGTAGAGTTTTAGTTTTTATAATCTTAGTATTTTGATACATTTTATTGTTGTGTCAAATTCAATCACAAGTCTGAATTTAGCTTTCTTAGAAAATATCAATTTGATTGTTTTTTTTTTAAATCTTTATACCTGTAAGTTTCATATTAGTTTGTCAAATTAAGGCTTTAAAATCATGTTATATGTATTTACCTTTTAGTTTCCGTATTATTCATCATTGTTGTCATATAAAAACCTAGTTGCTACAAAAGTTGAAAAAAATATAAATTATTTGTGATGTAGTTATTTACAATTTAAAAACTAAAAAGAAAGAAAAAGAAGATCAAAATCAAGTTAATATATTTTTCAAAAACAAGCCAACATCAAAACAAGGTGATGATTTGAGGTCAAATCATTTTGAGAAGAAGAGGAATAAAATGAATCAACAAGCATTACCAAATGATCTATTAGAGATATCAATTTGGCCTATTAAAAGGTCTAAAACTTAGAGGACCCAAAAGGAATTAATTGGGTTAATTATGGATATTTGGGTTAACAAATTGTAAATATCATTGACTAGATCTTTGTGCACTATTTGATATATATTTGAAGCTACAAAATTTTTTTTCTTTGATTCTAGTTGAGATAAAAACTAGACATCATAATCTTTCCATTCATATATGATAGATCCATTAATTAATCTAGAAGAGGTAGAACAATGTGTTTAAAGTCATGCCAAAAGTTATTCTATAGGTTTTGCAATTTGTTTCCTTATAATTTATGGACTTCTTATTTAGTAATTTTTTTATTTTTACTAGGAAAGTATAGGTGACAACAATAATGATTATTCTAGCAAGGATTTCCATGACAACAACTTATGTTTGTGTTTATTTTATGAATTTTGTCATTGACAAAGTTTCTTTATCATTTAAAGACATTAGAGGCAACTTGAGGCTTATTTTTTTTAATGCACTCATTTATACCAATAATTATAACTTTTTGTTAATGCACTCGTTTATACCAATAATTATAACTTTTAATCTGATCATTAAATATAGCTAAAATGTTATCAAAATTTTAAAAAGATCTTTTTTTATATTAAATTATAATTCCTGGTCAATCATATATCAGAAAAGTCTTGTGATAAGATCCACAAGCAACTTTATGAAAATTGTAATAGTTTCCTAGTTGATTTATGATTCTTTTTCTATTTTATTTAGAACTTTTTATTATTTTTTCTATTATAAATGGAGTTATTTAGTTTATATTTAGATTTTAAAATTAATAAAAGATGTATTAATTATTAAAAAATAAAACTATATGTAAGAGTTTCTTCCAAATAGATCCCCCACCATTATTCAGCATTCTCCCAGCTGAACTTCCTATCTAAAGTTAAGGTTCTTTGCATGGAATAGCCAAATCCGAATCTTGTGTAAATTCCTATAAAGCCCATCATTGACACGCATCATGATAAATTGTTGCAACCTCTAAGAAGTCACTGTGACACGTAGCTTTCTCAATAACAGCCGAGTATAGTGCATACCTTAGTAAGATGCACATCTTGTGAGTTCGGCGCCAACCTTTCTCATTAATCATTTATGGATGTCAACCTTTCCCACCAATAGTCATCATGCCTAACCTTACTATATATCTACAACTTTAAGTTTTATGATGTGATTTTATGTAATGAAGGTGTATAAATAACAACAGTCACAGGTAACAAGACATATGATTGAACAAGGCAACACAAGGCCATACAAGATCACAAAACAACACACACATGACCATCACTCTCTCTCTCTTATATTCTTGTTCTCGTTATTATACTTCCCTTTCCTCTTATAATTTGTTGAATTAAGCATAAAAAGATGATAGGGAACTTGTTTTTGTAAGAGAGCATGAAGGGGCTAACCTAGACAGCTCAGCCTAGGACGGAGTAGTGGGAGGCACAAATCCAATTTGAGATCTTTATGACTTCATCAAAAACAAGTTCTTGATGAACAACAACATTTATGAGAACAATTAAAAAAATTAATCAGCTGCCATTACTTTAATTGTAGATTGTTAAACAAAAAAGTACAGAGATGAATTACACGTGCATGATATTAAGCGGCAAGGCACCCAGACAAACACTAGAAGACATACATTGATCTCCTGAAGGATAAGAAAAAACGAGATGTCCTTGATAATCATCATTCTTTAACAAACTCAATCTTAACGCCAGAGATGACAACAGGATCACTAACACTATTAGACCTGGGCACCAAAGCCACCACAATGCTATCATCATCATCAGTTTCCAAGTCTTCCAACAATTCTGTAATCCCCAATATCAATCTTGTCTTGGACTTCTTCGCATGCTTATGAGACACATTAACAAAGCTCCCAGCAAACTCTGTATTTTCTGGTTTAGAAGGCATCTCAAGGTCATCATTTATGAACACGTCAAACTTCACGAATTTTCCTTTGTCGTATTCTATCCCTTCTATCACTAAAACTTCATCTTCCTCTTCTTTCTCTTTCCTGCTTCTTGATTTCTTTGGTCTTGAAACTACAGTAACTATGGTTTTGTCTAAGACTAAAGGGAATGCAGTGATCGGTGTTAATGCAGTTTTTGTTTCAGCTGCTTTCTTTCCCAACCTTCTTGGAATTGGTTTTGATTTTAGCCAAGGAATTTCAACATTTTGATAAGTATACCTTAGCCTTCTATTGTCAAGACAATCTCTAACCTTACAACGAACAAGCTCTGCATTCTCATTATAGAAAAGAAACTCTGAATTAAGCCAATCAGGATCACTGATATCCCTCCTAATTCCTCCAGGTATAGTCTTCCATATCGTCCACATTCGGTCAACATTTGAGTGATGACAAAAAAATATCGGATCTCTCGCAGCTGAGTAAAAATTGCCCATGTCTTCGGTATTTTCTTGAGTTGGATCACCGGCCCATCTGTGAATATTATTGTGAGGGCTGTTCTCAATCGTCCCAGCTCCAGGACGAGAATCGTCACCAGCACGGTATGGTTTTCCAAAAAAGAGTGTTGGTTTTGCTGCACCAGACACCATTTGCTTGTACATTACTCTAAGATTACTAGAGTATACTTTATTTGCGTTTGTGGGGTTGGGGTCTCCCGCTGCATAATCAAGATCTAGCAATACAGGAGGTTGGTGATTCTG